CTTACGAGTCCCGGACGGCGCGCTCCCCCTGCCGGCCACCCGGCCCCTGCGCAGACCCGGCCGGGAAGCACTTACCTGCAGACATTTCCCTTCATATAAAAGATCTTAGCATCATGGCCAATTCTGAAAATTACGAAAAAAGGGAGAGAAAAGGAAACCCTCTCTGGCACAACCACAGTTCCCACTTCGTGTTCCTCTCTCAAGCCTTCCTTCCACGATCTTGCGCTCCCACTTGGCGACGGCGTCACAGGAACGCGCCCGCGGGCCGGGCAGCAGCGTGCCTACCCCAGGAGCTGATGTGAGTTTGCAGCTTCCAACCCGCTTCTGCAAAGGCACTGCCCACTTTCTCTAAAGCGAAGCTAATGTGGCTTCACCTTGCAGCACCCTGGTCGTTGCGAGGTGCCGGCTCTGCGAACCTTCCTGACACCCCGCCAAACCGCAGCCCAGCAGCAGGGAAGCCCTGGGGTCCCCGGTGAGCCTGCGGGCCGCTGAGGAGCAGGAGGCCCTGACACTGCGTGGTGCCTGTCGCTGGGGACCCACGTAGTCACTACCCAGCAGGGGTTTGAGGGTGCAAGGCCTCAGATACACACGCACGCACGCATACACATTTGCGCACAGCACACTCACGGGTACCCTGCAGAGCAGACTGGGCCCGGTGGTGGCCAAGAGGGTAGAAATACGGGCGGGGCTGCAGCCCTCTGAGCCTGGGGCACAGTCCTCTCCCGGGGCAGAGGCTGCTCCCGCAGAGCCAGGAGGAGACGGTGTCTGCCCCCCACGCGGCCTGCTCCTGGGAGCACAGAGGACCTCAAGATACAGCATGTAAGCAGTGTTCCCATCTGATAAAGGAGAAGACTGGCCTGGTCGCGTAGCTTGTCAAAGGCACAGGGTGACTACGCCGGCGAGCCGAGATTTGCAGGTGGACGCATCTGGGCCGCAGCATCCACGCTCCCGCATGAAGGCAGCTGTCTCTTGTTTCCCGCTCCGCTGGGTCCGCGGCGTTCCGCCTGCTGCAGTGAAGCCACACTGACCACCAGGGGGCGGGGCTGCCCGCGAGCGCTCACCCACCGCCTCCCGCACAAGTCCTGGGAGACCCGGGCATCAGTTCCGCCACAGCCTTCCTGTCCCCATGGAGGTCGCAGTGCAGGCGGAGGGGACCAATTCACCGGAGATGGCTCCCTGGGGGGCAGTGCGCGGAGACGGCCTCTCGGGGCCACCGGGAGGACGCAGGCCCTGGAACGGCCGGCTGGGATGAATCGCTAATTCAATCATTTAGTGGAATCTCACAACATACACAAATGCCATTTGTCGTTGTCAGCAGGGTTCAGCACTGGGGCCGACGTGTGGAGGTGCCACCTCCACTGAGGCCCCTTTGCCTCCTTCACTTTGAGACGTCCCAGGCTCGAGTGCTGGCTGGAGCTGGAATTCTTGCCGCCATCGCCAGCCGTGCCTGATTTGTAATCCCCGCCAGGAAAAGCAGCGTCCACTGTACCCCCTCCTTCCTCCTTCCTTCCTGACCCTCCAGGCTTCCCCGTCACAGTTTCCTTTCTGTTTGAAGAACGTCTTTTGGGCAGGTTGTTAACAGCAGGCCAGCTGAAAATGATTCTTGCAGGTTCCCTTCACCTGAGAATGGCCCCTTGTGGCCCCTTTCTTCCTGACAGCCGTTTCACTGGACAGAGACCTCACAGCTGGTATTTGTTTTACTTTCAGCCTCGAAAAATGTGTCATTTCCTTCTGGCCTCTGTGTTTTCATGTGAGAAACCCACCTTCACTCAGTGCACAGAAACCATCGCTTCTTTCTGGCTGCTTCCCAGATTCTTCCTTCATCTCTACTTGTCGGAAGTTTGGTTCTGGTGAATCGCGCATGGATTATGTGGTTTCCCCTGTTTGGGGTTCACTCAGCTCCTTGAATCTACAGGTTTGTGTCTTTGGCTGAATTTGGAGAGTTTGGGGCCATTTCTTCAGATACTCCTCAACCCTCCCTTCTCCCCACCTCCTGGAACTCAGTGACTCACATGATTGTCCCCAGGTCCCCTCACTTTTTTTTAAGCCTCTGTTGTTCAGACCAGGGATTTTATCCATCGGTCCTCAAGGTCACGGATTTGTTCGTCCGGCATCTCCACTCTGCTACGGAGTTCCCAGTGGGTTTTTGGTTTGTTTTCTGCATTTTACTTCCGTACTTTGGTTTTTCCGTGACTTCGTGACTGTGCTGGGGTTCTGTTTTTGCTTTTCCACTCAGACTTGCTCACTGAAGCAGGGATTCTGCGGTTGCTTTAAACACCCCCCTCCCCGGCCACGCAATCCCAGCACCTGCTTCCTCAGCTCCCATCTTTTCTCATTTGGGCTGTAAACTCCCTGACTCCTGGTTCAGCAGGTCCTTTTCTGTTGTATCCTGGGGATCTGTCTGTTGTGTTAGAAGACTCTGGGTCCCAGTTAAGTGTCAGGTGTCCACAGGGCTTGCCCTGGGCAGGTGTAGCCCCAGGACCCAGGCTGCCATGGGCTGTGCTCCCACGCGGGTCGGCTGCCCTGGTCTTTCCACAGTTTGGGGCTGTGTCTCCCACTGGCCCCTGCGGGGCTGCCTAAGAGGCGGACAGGGTCTCGGTAGGGGAGAGAGTGGCAGCCCCCAGCACCACCCTGGTGTCTTAGGTCCTTGGTGACAAGCTGCAGGGGCTCAGTCAGTTGGCAGAATCCCCACAAGGGACAGCCCACCCCACCCGAACTGCTGCCCCTGCCCAGGCTTGGACCTTGGCCTCTGATTCTTGGGGAAATTTAAGGACATTTGCTCTTGAATCATTTTTCTTGTTTTCTGTTCAACAGCCCTGAGGCTCCAGTGTGTTCAGATACGTCGTGAAACGTCCCTTTCTTGAAGCCCAGGTCCACCTGGACACTCCGGTTCAGCTCTGAGCCCAGCTCCATCGCCCCTGCTCTGAAATATGACCCCCAGGTCCACGGGCCCCTCATCCCAGGACACGAGACCACACACAAACCTCTAGCAGACAGAAAAACCACGATAAAGGGTCCGACCCGACGTTTCCCCCCCAGCGACCGGCCGTCCCTGAGAGATCCAGACCCGAGTGGGTGGGGCCGGGGGGCATCACGGGAGGATGGCTCAGTGATGAACAGGGAGCATGACACTCTGGCACGAGGCAGGAGTCCTTCCACAAGGCCTCGTGGTCACTCGGTCTCCGATGGTCCTCTGTGCAGCCTGGAACCACTGTGACAAGTCCAGACTGCATCCTTCAAAGTGTGCCCGTAAGGACAATAGGCCCAGAGCCCTGCTGTGACACTGGTCCAGGGTCCAGGACCCAGTGGAACCCTCCTGTGGACAAGACTCAGCCCCCCTCCCCACCTGCCCTCCCTTCCATGCTTGGCATTGACATAGGGACCACTGCAGGGCGCCCTCCCCAGTACAGTGTCCTCGGAGCCTGCGCCCAGAGGGCCATGCCAGCACAGGCATGCAGTGTGGGTGGAGACCTGAGGTTTGCGGGTGGGGTCAGCTGCCATCGGTCCACGGCTGCCATGGGCCAGGCTCTGTTTCTCTCCTGAGTGGGAGCAGAAACAGCCCGCTCTAAGCCATATGAAGGGTCACCCCCAGCCCAAGCCTGGTGAGGATGACGCCCGCTCCGTGGCACAGCTTGCACTGGGAGAGGCAGGCGGGCCTGGGCCACCCAGTGACTGCCCACCCTCGCAGACCGGGTCCAGGCACGCCCAGCGGTCACCTGGCCTCCTGCGGGGACAGAGCGGCTCCAGGCTCCAGAACACAGAGGGAGGGCAGGCAGCAGGGTCCCATGTCCTCACCAAACAGGGGCAGCAGGTCAAGCTCGGGAGGGCCCCAGCCCCAGCGGGCAGAAAGCCAGCACAGTGGGCCCCCGCCTCACTGTGGGGTGAACCTTGCTAACCCAGGAGAGCTGGCTGAGACTGTCACCAGCATCCGTTGAAAGATTAGGTGAACCCACCAGGCTTTTCCTATTCTGGGTCACCGACCAACTCAGCAGACATCTGGGAAGCCCCATCAGACACTGGTCTAAGTGGGGACCTTTCTCCCACAGCCACTGGAACAGCGAGCTTTATACCAACATCAAAAATGGAGCAGCAAAAAAAAAAAAACCTAAAACATAGCAGAACCCATGATCAATACCAGTTACTATCATTCACTACTTAAAACCTACAAATACAATTTTCTGAAGTCGCTGGGCAGAAATCTCAGACTATTCCTGGAGGCAAAACACACACGAATGTATAACTGAATTTACTGACCCATAAACAGTCCCAAATAAACACACACGCAGGCACACCCAGGCGTGCACACACACGTCCACACCCGTGGACACCCTTCCGGAAGCTTCCATCCGACGCCACAAACAAGCGCCTGCCTCCCCGAGGCTTACCAAGTTTATAACTTTATTATACTCTGAATAGAGGCGGTATTTAGAGAGCAGAGCAGAGCGCTATACAGAGTTATCCTGGAACGTTCATTTACAGACTGGGTACACTCTTTACAAGGCGGAAGGAGAAACACCCACTACTTGGCAGGGCAGATAAGGCGGCGCGGTGAGGACGGACGCGGAGGAGGCGGGGTGGGGGCCCTCAGACGCGGGGCGACTCAAGG